CTCATAAGTATGTAACTTGAAGGATCGATATCGAGCTATCTATGAGAAACTAGACTCGAGAAAGGCTAACCTTAACTATGAATAGTCTTGATGTCACACGGATACGTGGTTTCAGAATAAGAAATGCATAGCTCGTGGTATTTTGGTATCAGAGCCATGTTTGGCTCAGCAGTGGGACTAACATGACTTTAAGTATGGACATAATAACGTGAAACAGAGGTGGTGTTAAGCTCAAAAAAAGATATCAAGGTGTGAATGCGATTCTGTGGCTATGAGGGCTCGATAATGAGCCAACGATGCGTGCTGTGGAAAAAATTAGTTTGGGTGAAAGGCCTAAAGTAGGCTCTTGGATTCCAAGCAAAAGGGCATCGAAGTCTAACCTCACCTAGTAAAAGGTGTTGGCTCGTACGAGCATGTGATGCCCTTTGAGTGATGGACAATAATCGAGACCATAATGCGAAAGGGGCATACACCATGAAATGGTGTTAAGTAAGGCCATGTAGGCCGAAATGAGTTTTGTCTTGAGGGACATGAGTTATGTATATTTAGATCAGTTACAAATGTGTGCACTAATTGTATGGTGCATATGGTTTAACAAGGGTATGAGCTGACTATTAGGTCTAAGTGTGGAGTCATTCTGCAGAGATGGAGGAGCGTAAGTTGGCTAAGGATTGAAACTATGAGTTGTGGTGGTCAACAGACCATAACAGTGTGTAGTTCAATGGAACGAGCAAACAGGAATTGGCTAATTAACAAGGCTTTGAGATGTGTGGGTCAGAAAATCAATCAAATTGAGTAAAATGATGGTATAAGCAGATGGTATAGGCATTCGAGTGGCATCCAATCAGCAAATTGGATGAGTTTGAGTAAGGTAAAGGATAAGTTAATTGAGTTAAGCCAAATATGGAGTATTTGAGTAATATGTCAGCCTATAAAATGGCCTTAAGTTTGAGTAGGTTAGCAGACCTTAAGTATTGAATGGGTTGGTTAACCCTTGAGTCAAGCAAGTCAGTGGACAATGTGATTGGTTGGATCAGTGGATCCTTAAGTATAGAATGGGCTTTGAGATGCCCTATGAACTATGCCAGAATCAAGACAGTCTAGTTATGAAACCATTGAGGAGACATGGTTGCATGCAGAACTGAGTTGTGTTTAAGTAAAAGTTAGGGATAAAGGTGTTCCCCATGGAATTGAGCCAAGATAATAGAGCCTAAGTTTATTAAGCACTGTGTTTTGAGTATGAGATAGAGATCAAGTAATAAGCGTTAAGGTGCACCACACCAAGAAAGGTGATTTTAAAAGGGCTAAAAAGGCCCAAGTTATGAGATGATCGAAGTGTTTGAATGCCACCATGCTAGGGTTTATCATGGGTGGTGCCGTATAAGTGCGGTTGACCTAAACATCACGTTTAGAATGGCACATCGAAGAGTTGATGCCGCAGACATGCAGTTGGTGTGATGGGTCACGTCCAGCGGGGTGCACCAATGCGTGGCAAAACGGGTGGTCATTCATTCTACTAAGGGTCATGATCGACAAAAGTGCCTAAAGGCCACAACATGATGTGATCACAAGTGAAGTGGGACAGTGGCACATATCAAGTAACCGAGATAAAGTATGATGGTCTAAGATGGAAATTGCCCAAAAATACATTGAAGTTAGGATGAGATCAATCTACATTGGCAATGAACAAGTACTTTGGGTGGTGCCTCATGTGATGAAATCTCGACCCAATCCTTGAGGGCACAAATGAAAGACATATGAGAAAGTGTCAACTGTGTACAATAAGAGAGTTGGGTATGGTCTTGACATCGATGAGTGCTACGACATAATAAGTGAGAAAAAATGTCATGGTTAGGCCCTGGTGTGCCTCGATCATGCCATGAATGACCTTGAGCTGAGCAACAATTGAGGCCTTATTGGTGGGACAATGGATCTGGAGCATGTGTACGAACATTTTAAGCACAAAAACATGTTATTGATATTGTATGTGGGTAGTATGAGCCCTAGGCCGCAAGATGCATGGACAAGTTCAAGTTGGTGGGTGGACCCTCGAATTGAGTAGTCAGTGAGGTACTATTAGTTGAAGGTATGTGCGGGCATTTTGAGTATAGAAACATGTTGTTGATATTACGTACAGGCAGTGTGAGCCCTAGGCCCTAAGATATGCGGGTAAATGAGAGGCAGTGGAAAGGTGCCATGGAGCCAGCTAACCAGTCGGGTGTTGTCGATCAAAGCCATGTGTGTGTGCCTTTAAGTGGGTTAATGGAGCAACGAGTTGAACGCTAGAATTATGGTGACTAAAAGGAAGGTCACTAGGCCCTGAGTTTGATGAAGAAAGGCCCTGAGATGGCTAGGAAGAAAAGTGTCCCCATTTTAAACAGTCTTATAGTTTCTGGTAAGAGACCTGAAAAATCTCTTACGCTTTTTATAGGGGACGATTAATGTCAGCTCTCTGCCACCCCTTTAGCTAGTGGGTAAGCAAAGGCCTGGCTAGTCTGAAATGAGCTACTCCTAGGCACATGTGGTGTCTAGGTGGATAGGTATTATAGGGTCACAAGTGTGACACAATATCGCTTAGGGTCATGGTAAACCTAGGGACAGTTAGGGCCAACGGGCCTCGTATCATGCCTTTGCATTAACCCATAGGGTTAGGCGGTAGCATTCGCTATGCCTATTGATTTCCCTTCATTGAGCTGAAAAGATCATAACATGGTGTTTGCATAGGATGGGTACCATCGAGCCTGAGGAATGAGCAGGCTAACAGGCAGGCACGCTACTAGACCCTTATGGCTAATCGGTAAGGAGGTGTTGTAGCTGAGGTAACACACCTTAGTTCTTGAGGTGGGACAAGCATAATGTTGAGTGTTAATCATATATGCGGGGTACCATATATGCCTTTCGATTTCCCTTCATTGAGCTGAAAGGATCATAACATGGTGTTTACATAGGATAGGTACCATCGAGCCTGAGGGATGAGCAGGCTAACAGACAGGCACACTGCTAGACCCTTGTGGCTAATCGGTAAAGAGGTGTTGTAGCTGAGGTAGCACACCCGAGTTCTTGAGGCGGGATAAGCATGACGTTGAGTGTTAATCATATGTGCGAGTAGCCTAAAATGAGGCTAAGAGTTGAGGCTCTAAGACATGAGTTTATTCGAAAGAGTTGAGCCTAAAAGCTTCTGGCTAGCTGCTGACCAGCATCTGTGTTGTGCCTGCGAGATCATGACATTAGAGTTTGCCTATGATGCCGATGGACATACTGTTGAGTTCTCACCATGCCAGAAAGCAATAAAATCATGAGAACCGGGGTTATGCATCCCTATGAGAATTCGAGGGTCAGTGCTCGGGGACGTTGGTGCTTGCGGGCAGGGAAAGGGGCTCCAGGCCACCCAAAGATTTGAGGGTTGATGAGTTGATGGGAGTTAGGTCCCTATATATCGAGGTGTGACTCTATAGGGTCAAAGTCAAAAAAGGTTCATGAGTATGTAATTTGAAGGATCAATATTGAGCTGTCCATGGGAAAATGAACTTGAGAAAAACTGACCTCGATTATGAGTAGTTTTGGTGCCACACGAACACGTGATTTCAGAATAAGGAACGCGTGGCCTGTGACACTCAGCCTCCTCTGCCAAAGAATCCCTCCAGCTGTCCCTGGAATCATGGTAATTGGCAATAAAATGTAAGTTTTTACACATGCCTGGAAGTTGGAAGCTAATGGCTGATTGTTATGTTTTGGCAGTTTTTGTCTGGTGGGCAATCTGAAGTTGAGGCTAACTTGAACTTGGATGCAATGAGCCAAACTCCAAACCCATGGCATGTGTCATTCTCATAAGCAAGAGCCCTTCAAAATACTTGTCTGAAGAAGTGGGGAGGCAGACCTGAGAACGTGAAGGAGGCCTAGGAAGCTCTGCTTGTCCGGGCACAGGCCAACTCTCTTGCTCAACTTGGCAAGTACAGAGGTGAGGGAGAGTCAGAGGAGGCCAAAGAAGGAATGTTTGTCAAGAGCTATGTCTACTTGGTTGTTTGAATCAAATTCCATAGAAGAAGACAGCAGTGATGGTAAAATTATAAATTATGTAGAAGTAATGAAGAACTTTGCTGCATCCTCGTAGCCAATGCACCATAATTTTGTTGATAACATGTATCTTCAACAGCTTTATAAATTTCCTGCAGTGAAAATTTAATTGAAGGAGCAGACTGCCAATCTTTCTGTCATTACCATTCTTCCGTTTTCCCCTTAATTCTTCTTAATAATTATGCTAAAGCATTAGAATTCGGCCAATGGCAATCCATTCTAAGATAAACTGAGTAGAAATTCTAAATAGCTATGAGGCTCATTGGAATTCAAAGCATAAATTGGGGCAAGTGATGCTCAAAAAGACAAAATTTCTCAATCGGAGCCAAATTGATGGAACTTTTTAAAAATGTGCCACATTCTTGGATCCTTCCTTCACATATTTCATATTTTCATATGCGATTAGTGTCAACTAAGGAACATGCATTCCTCAATCGAACTGCAAAATGTAACTTAAAGCATAACTATGCTCAACCTCCAGTAAACAAGCCAAGTATTACCATTTTATGAAATGAAAGTGGAAATTAACACCCATATCCAGGGAAGGTTTTGAATATTTCTGGAAGAATGTTGGCGTCCAGCCTCGCATATCCTGAGGAGATATTCTGTTATGATGAATTTGTCCATATCTTATCCAGTGATGGAAACCCTTTACCTGTCCAGAAGTTGCTTCAGCATGTAGTTGGCCTCCATTCTTTCTGCTACTATTTTCGTCATCATTGCTGGATCTTCTGATTATCCTTATCATTTTTTCTCTTGCCCATCTACTAATGTCTTTATTTATGATTTTTTAAAATGCTTTTCGAACACTACTTGCATCGATTATTTGGGTCTGTTCACATATACGATTTTGCGATAATGAAATTATTGAGGTTGATAACGAGACATTTGAATGGCATACAAGAAGAGGATACCAAAAGAGATAATTTACTGTTAAGTATAGGTTATTATTCATTACGTTTTTGGGTTGAGGACATACAAAAGGACAAGTAATACTTGTAACGCCTTTATAATGTGCAATTAAACATTTTCAGAAGGAAACATACATGAGATCAAGGTTAGCTAAGTGATCAATTGGAACATTTATGTATCTCGTCTGTGCCATACACTTTTACATGTAACTCCTACCCGCGCTCTTGCACTCAGACAGCCACAAGTCAATTTGTTCGATCATCTGTTGCCTCACTTTGTGAACTGATTCAGGAGAACTGCAATTCTGAGCATTACCTGAAATGAGAAAAATCACAACTTAAGAGAATACATCGCAAAATCCTTATTTAAAGAACTGGGAAGTGATAATCATAGATAAAGTGTTATATAAAGCAAGCACATAATTGACCAAAGAACATATGCGTCTTGAAGCTATAAAGTCATTCAAAATAGTTTAGACGACATTAGCAATAAAAAATTCTTACCTTCAATGCTTAAAGGCGATTGGGGACATCCTCGCATATCAGTTCCATGGCCACAATTATGACAAGTAATGAGGTAGGAAGGCACTGGAATGTTCAAAAGGAAGTTCTTAGAGAGTGAAATATGACAACTAGGTGAATTACAGGGAAGTCATTGATCAACACTGTAAGTGATTTCTGTTTTAGATAATCTCAAAACTATTCACACATTAACAATAACAACTTAGCCTTTTTTTCGCAACATGGAATTGGCTCCATCGGAAAAAGAGAACTTTCTTTACCACAACTTAGAACTAATAGGCATGGCTATTATCAAGAGCTAGCCTATTAGACATCTAGGTGTCCTCTGCTACACCATCCACGTTGCTAAGTGGAGTGAATAAAAACGAAGAGCTTCCTATAAAGTCTCTTATTTTGATTTTGGAAGCTGGCCATTCATGAAAGTAATGGGTAATAACAATATAGGAAGCTTACTATCTGGGGATGATAGCTGTTTGGATGCATGACGCCATGGATCCTGTGAGCCATTTGTAAAAATGATTTTTGAACCTGCAAATTCATATTTTTGTAAGAACAAGTGAACTATAGTCTGCCAGTGAAAGTCATTGATTGCAATAATAGGAGCATAGGAATATAGCAAAAAAATTGTAAACCATTTTAGCCCTCATATGCTAAAGAAACGATTCATCTCTTTTGACTTTGAGGTAATGCCTTTTCATTCATAACATGATTTTTTTTTTTCTTACGTAAACCTCATAGGTATTAGCTGAAAATGAATGAATAAAACCACATATCAAGCTGAACAGAAGGCTTCAGTTGCAGAGATAGATAATCCATGTCCGTTAAATGGAATCAAAGAATGATATTTGACATCAAGAAACATCTGTTGTGTTATAAGAACATCTAGGTACAGACGTTTGCAACAGCCTATCAACCTCTGTTTGCTGGCATAATAGTAGCATAATAAGACAGGTACAAGCAAGCCTGTGTGTGCAGGTGTCTGAAGACGTGGTGCGTGTGAGAGAGAAAAATTACATGTTAGACAGCTAGATGAAACAAAGCAATTCTGGACCAGCAATTACTATATATGGGGATTGACAAAAGAAGGGAAAAAATCAAGTCTTTAATGCTAGAAGCCTAGCAGACTAAGGGGGCTGTTTGGTATTGTTACTAGTTTTATGTTTTATGTTTTTTAAAATTTTGTTTTGTTTAATTTTTATTTTATTAAAGTTGAAAACACGATTGAAAATATATTTTTGTTACATAAATACTAAAACAACGGACCACAAAGAGAAGTGGCTGAGGGCACGGGCTAGCAAATTGACAGGGGTTGGAATCCAAGTTTTGGCAGCTTTGGTGGTCTTTTTTCAATATTTTGGCAATAAAACTGATACTGTTCACTCATGGGTACTGTTCACCACTGTAGTAGAAATGTTTTCGAAATATTGAAAACATCATTGTTTTTCACTTCCAACAATTTCCAAAATTTTGTTTTCAATTTTTAGTTTTTAAAACAAAAATAACCCACCAAACATAATTTTCTTTCCAATTTTCAAAAAAATTGAAAATAAAACATAAAACACAAAACAAAAACATCTACAAACGAGCCTAGATTTATGTAAAAGTACAGGAAATTTCATGTTGAAGAAAAAGGCAGAAAAACAGGGGAGATTACGCCTTGACCTGCAATTTTTGTGCCTCCGTAGTATATATTTGTCACATCAACCTCGGGGTAGATACCTTCTCCAAAGACGCTCTTGCAAAGGTCCAAGTGGTAGCTGCCATGTATGAGCAATACATTTGTATGGTCAAATGTGCAGAAAAGCATACAAAAAGAACAAACACCATAACCATATGCATTTAGCAATTTGACAAAGACACAGACAGAAAGCAATCTTTAGCATAGATTACATAACATGATATTTAAAAACATACTTTGTATCAACTTTTGAAGAGCGAATGCTATCAGTTGAGGGTGCCACCTGGAAATATGCAACTTCAGTACACACTTGAAACCACCATAGCCGGTCAGAATTATCTTCACTAACTGCAGTGTTCTTCAAGTGTTTCTGATTATAGGTTTGAACACTGACACCAATACTTCCAATGTAATGCTCTTTAACATATTTGGCATAGGCACCCTGCATGAGATATAGGAAATAGTTTCCCACAAATCATATTCTTGATAAATAAAACAAAGAAGAAATTCATACTCTTGAAAACCTACAAAGAAGCATAATTAGAAAGAGGAGCATACCACCAAATCCTCTCCAGCCTTTTTTGCTTCAACAAGAGGGGTGCATAATGTATCTGGGTTTCCATATTGAAACTGCAAATTTAAAGACAATAAGATTATTATCAAGTAAATTTAATAGAGAGTGAGAGGATAAAAGGAGAAAGCAAATCTACCGCAGTAACAGCTGCATCTGCCACAAAATAGAGGAAATCACCATCAATCTCAAGCTGGAAACATAAAAAAATGTCAGCATCAGGATCAGGAGATGACATCTAAAAAGAATTTAAGTAGAGGGTGTCTGCTATGGAGAACTACAAGGAAAGAAGATTCAACCTCAGCTGCGCCGAACAGTGTCTTCAGTTTTTTTCTTTCTGATAGTGGTAATGCAAGTCTTTGATCAACAAGTTGAGTAATTTCTTGTAATGCGGCTTTGCATTCAGGACCAGCTGACTCACCAATCTGCACATGGTGGGGGGTAAAAATAAGGAGAATGAAGGTGATGAGAAAGTCTAGAACTGAAGGGAGAACATATTGAGGATATGAAACTAAAACACCCAGTATGGAAGCAGATATTTACAGGATGTACTCACTTTCAACCACTCAATCTCATCACGTTTTCACCGTTGGCTGTCCCAAATACTAAGGCATTTTAAAACAAACTAACTTCATGTTTGGTGCATAGGATAATGGATAAGATAGGATGATAATCATCCTATATTAGGTTTGGTTTGTATATGAAGAGAGGGATAGGATTGCAATCATTCTCTTGGCATAGGATGATTCAATCTTTCCAAAATAGAGATGATTATTTTAATCCATAGGATTGAACTAACATATCTCATTATACCCTTAAAAATTTACATCTATAATTTTAATTTGATAAACTTTAAAGAAGGATAATTGTGATTAATAAATAAAATTATCCTATTATAATCCTTACATACATCAAACACAAGATAGAATGATATTATTTAATCTAATTTTATTCATAATATCACTTTATCCAATCTTATTCAATATCTTATGCATCAAACAAGCCATAAGAGAATTATATATCTCTATCCCTATGTATACCCTTCAAAGAAAAATAATTGTAAATTGGCATCCTAAATTGGATTGGTTTGTAGGTATTTGTGAAAATTTACAATCAATCAGTTGACACATGAATAGTAAAATGTAACACAACAAAAAGTGGGATGAAGGAAGCATCAATATCTTACCTGCTTATCAAAATCAGTGAAGTTGTAAACAGCGAGAACAACCGCAGAACTTGCCAGGCTTCCACATGTTAAATGAGGAAACTTAAGACGAAACCACGCACTAAGAGCACCAGGGTACGAAATACCAAAAACAAACCACGGATTCTCAGAATCCCTTTTATTCTGCTTCAAATTTAAGGATTCCTACAAAACAGAAACACCATAAAACAAAATAACAAATTAAGCAGACATAAAATTAACAGCTAAAACATAATCACATTGAATTCATTTCATCTCATAAACCCACTAAGACAAAACTAGGCAGGTTAAGAATGGAAAAATCTCTGAACAATGAAAAAAAGGGAAAAAAAGAACTTACCTGATACCATTGGCGAAAAATAGCCAAGTCAAAGAGAGCCTGCTTGGATGAAAGATATTTCAAATTTTCCGTTGTATGTGATTTAAAAGGACTGCTTTTCCCATAGTAACGATGCTCGAGTGAAACCACAGCTGCTCCAAACTTCTTCGCCAAAACCTGAAACACAGAAAAGAAAATAACAATACAATAATGATTAGCCATTTTCTTCCAAAACCAAAACAGTTTTCACCGTAAAAAATTTTGGGTTTGAAAGAATTAGTAGAATTTACGCTGATATAGTCATTGGTTATGCCAGGGCAGGAAGATTCCCCACAGATGTTTAAGAAAATGGGTCCATCTGGAACTTGAAAGTAATCAAGGAATTCATAGTAACGCTGCTTAAATTGCCGGTGATCCTACAACAAAAAAAGAAAAAACGAACAGATTAGCTGGTAAAGGGAAAATAGAAACTTTACCTAATTTTGGCGAATTAATGAAACTTAATGATTGAAATAAAATATTGGGAAACTTTGGAATAAAGAAATTAAATTGAATGGAAATGAAAGAGAATCAAAAGAATGGGAGAATTACGTAAGGAGAAAAGTGATCGAGAGTCTGGTCGAACCAGAGCTCTTTAGTGGTTAAGTATTTGCTAGTTTCATCCAAGCGGTTAAGCAAAGTACGAGGTGTCACGAATCCATGTGCGAATCCCGACAGAGCTACGAGAAACAACAACGAAACGGAGAAGACCTGCTTCGACAGCCTCATCGTCGCCGTTGTCATTCCCAGTTCCGAAAGTAATGGCCTTGTTCTTTGTTCCTTAAGACTCTTAGGAATGGGAATAAAAGGTTGTTATGTTTACTGTTCATAGAAAACGTGAAGGAAACCTGATCAGACAATTGCGGGCTGACATGTTCAGCATTCCTGTTCTCAAACTCAACACGTGCTTTTTATTTTTACTTTTTTTATGGTACATTTCCAGCGGTACATATTTAGAGATTCGTACTCGAGGCAGTTTTTTTTTTTTTTTAATTACAATAATGAAATTTTTTTAATCAAAACCAGATTATACGGACCTGGCAAACATTTTTATTCATTCAATTAAAAAAATTATATTATTGGAGAATTTTTGTTTCTCAAAAGGGATGTTACCCATCAACTCAGGACTAACTTGGATTTTCTCACACCTTCAATCTAATTATATTATTTTTATTTTTATTTAAAAATTATTAAATTATTTTTTATTTTAATTAAAAATTATGAAATTATTTTTTAAATTTAATAAAAATCAATAATTTTATTACTATATATATAAAAAGTTTCTTATTATATTATTAATAAAAAATATTATTATTTATAAATTTTATTATTTTATAATAAATTAATAAATAAATATTATATTATAAACAGAAATAAAATTTATTATCTGCATACTTAAAAATAGATATTACTATTTTAACTAAAAATAGATATCAGCATACCTAACAAAAGAAATGAAAAATTCCTCTTATATATTACTATTATTTTTATTAATTTTTAATTATTTATGAATAAAATTATTATTTTACATAAAGATAATTTTTTAATTATTTATTAATTTTATAAACATTAAAAAATTTAAATTTTTTATTATGTACAAATTTTAATTTAATTTATTAATTTTTATTCTCACTACAATTAATTTATCCGTCACAAATGTTTTTCATTCAATTACATATATTATCATTGATTTTTATTTCAACGGCATAATAATCAATTTAATTATTATAATAATTAATCTTAATTTTATTATTATTTTCAATTTTATCGAAATCAGCCACCCCTTCGTAAGAACATAGAACATCATCATCATCAATCAAGAAATTCGAGTTTCCTTCTTTTTCTAGTTTCCTCCACCCTTTTCTTATCATCCCTTCACGATAAACAGCAGAAATGATCACCTTTTTTCTAGTTTCATTTTCTTTTTTCATGTTTATTTTTTTTCTAGTTTCATGTTAGCATTAGCTGAATTAAGAGATTCTCTGGGTATACATTACTCTTTAAGCATTAATCTCCCAAGCATTACCAAATGCTCCCAAGTGCTTTAAGAAGTCACAAAAAGTGCCGTTTTTTACAATGCCATTTCAACATCACAAACAAAATTTACAGAAGAACGACAGAAGACATTCTTTTACTTTGCAGCAGGTGCTATAAAGCTGTCTGAAAACTACTCTAAACAACTACGCCAATTGTTGAAGATGATAAGTTTACCAGGTACGGAGCAGTTAACAAAAGTAAACAGAGGCCGTCGAGGCTTCTGGCTTCCATATAAAATCGAACCGAGAACCAGGTCTCCTAATCATCATCACATCTGCTTAGAACAGTGAATTATTGTTCCTTGAGACAAAAAAAACAGGGGTCAGGGCAATTTTGCAAGCTTAAGAAAACAATTTGATGCATAGACTATAGTTTTATTCCTGAATATGCTTGGGCGGCGTTGGTGCACCTACATCATGAGACAGAAATGAAATGATTGTATCAAGTTCACAAGAAGGCTGTTCATATCACATTATGAACTTCAGAAATGTACCATTCCTCTTTATAATCTCGCAGTTCAACTTGTAAATCAAGACGAAATTTTTCTTGGCAATAAAAGCGTCATTTATCCAAAAATAATCAAATAAATGCACTAGCACTGAAATCATTATAGTTTGGAGAATTTCTAGGAAAATTTTCTGACACAAGCTTTATTAGTGTCCCGCAATATTATTCTTTAAGGCACAGATGAATGATGACTATTTTCTCTTATAAAATCTTATCATTCACTATTTGATTTCATGAATCTTAGGAATATCTTCAACACCTTGTTATCATATTTCCATAACTATCTTCTCAATCTGATGTTACAATCTGATTTGAGAAGTTATATAATCCTCATATTTGGGTTTTTGTCTTTCCATGCATTCATGCATTGAAACAAATGCATGCCTATTGCACATGAAATAGAAATTTGAGGGCTTCCAACCAAGACATCTACTAAATCTCACTCCTTAATGAGTGATTAGAGATATTACCCCTAAATATTTTGAAAGAACAAGATCATGTGTTTTAAATGTAGCAAAAGAGAGGAAGCCCGATACAAAGATGTATTGTTTGTAGTTTAGAATGTAATGCATCCCATATTGGATAAAAAATTTTAATTATTGATTAATAAAATTAATTTTTGTATTAATTTTATTTATATTTTAAATAATTATGTTTGAATAGAAACAATTATTATATGATAAAAGTTCATAACTATTTGAATATAAATAGATTATAGTTTATAAAGGTCATGATTATATAAAAGATCATTACCATCTGAATTGAAGTTTATATCTGTTCATTATAAATAAATCTTTCAATATAACTATTTTCACTACTTCTGATTAGAAAGTTTTGATGTTTTGTTGTATCCTAAAAGCATAATTGCTTTTAAGAAAAAAATTTTCACGTCTCAAAATCAAAATTCTTTTCTATTATTTTTCTTCTTTTATTTATTTTTTCTAACAATTTAAAGGCAATTATGAGAAATTTATAATTCACATGATGAAGATATTCGGAAAAGAAATTGGCATGATTTAAATATCAATAGTAGAGAAGGCTCAATGTGTCAAAGAATTAATATTTTCACGGACCAAAATATTAATTTTCATAAAGATTTTCATTAAAGGTATGCATTTTATTTTTTACATAATTACTAGTAAAAAGATTGACTGATGAAATAAGCATGTTAACAATTTATTTCATTAGTGTGTAAAGTCAAAACATAATATGCAAAATATTGATTATATTGCACAAGGTTATGCATATATTGAAATTGATTCCACAATTGAGTTTAATGAATTGTATTATATTTATTTGAAAAATTAATGCTTATAAAGATTGGGATGAGAAATAGTCTGAAAACTAAAAAAAGAAATACATTAATTAATTTATGACCAAAAAAATTATCACTTAGTGTCAAACAACAAATTAAATTGAGTTCTAATGGAATGACCAATTGTTTAATTGTCGTGTTTTGGTTATATATAGAATAGAAAAATTGTCCCATAGTTTCTATAAAAACAATCAAAAATGGGTAAAGGAATTTATTATAAGAAATTAGATGTAAGTAAAGAATATATGCAGAAAATAAGATTTACCTACAAGATTAGTTTTATTATTAAATTATGACACCAAAATTGAGATGCTAAGCTGAATCAAGTTATTCGTATGGTTCTATCTTTGTTGATCGTTTTTAAATCAAATGTTAATATATTTTTTTAATTTATTATTGGTTCAAATTTTAACTAGTATTTAATTTTCATGAAAACTAATTAAAATTAAATTGATGTATGTGAATAATTATTATTAAGATATGGTGTTTTATGGATTAATTGGTGCATAATAAACCAAATAATTGTTATTATTAGAAGCATAAGCAGTGTAACATGTATTTTACTTGCTGGGTGTATTACGCTATAAGTGATTGTATAAAATAAAATTTTATTGTAAACAATCACAAAGTAAAAATCATAAATAACAGTCAAAGAGTTAATCAATGATTACAAAAATACGTTGTTGCCTTTCGCGTATAGGATATTGATCAAACGAAAAGGCATGTCATTAAAAATTATCGAAGTATTTAGCGGTTACTAGTATTTTGAAGGATGCTTATCAATATCTAATAGCCATGTTTATAAATTAGAAAAGAACATGCAAATTCAATGTTCCAAAGGCACCAATACATGCATGTGTTTAATTCCATTTTATGATGGCATGAAGAACATTGATACAATTTGCCATATATTACGAAAATGAACTATATGGGATGAAATTTTCTTTCTTATACATATAAAAAAGATATAAACTATGGAGATAAAATATCATCATCCAATTAAGATATGGACTATAGAGATAGAATGCCATCATCCAATTAATACATTATTAGTTTCATGACAATGGTAAGGATGTGGAGGGTTATACCATATTAACATATGGGCTTAGATAATAATATTGGTTTGTGAAAGCCGTAAGTCTTAGAGTTAGCCAATCAATGATTTAACCAATACAAATTCATCACGAATTTTTGCATAAAATATGAGTAGAACTCACATTATAATCATTGTTTATAATGTTTTATGAAAATAATTCTTTGGATTCATGTTTCATGACTTGCATTGATATGGTGATCTAGATATGAATATATTGATCACAAAATAATTGTGAAAGTATTTAAAATTAGAGTTAAATATACTATGAACTTTTATTGTATATAGGCATATTGGTCATATGAGTAAAGTTTGAATTTATTATATATTTAAAAATATAATGATCAATTAAAAGTGGTAAATAACATAGATATATAGGCTACACAATGGTGGAGAAATAAAATACTCATAAAATTTTAAAATCAAGTTTAGAAGTTTCAATAGTCATGAATTTGGAATTGGCCATTGGGTAATTACTTTATGCATTGAGAACTCATGATAATATTTGAAATAGTTGATTTTCACTAAAAGTCCTTATTATAAATGAGATAACTTTCACAATCAAATCTATATGATTTGTAGGTATGTTGTGGATTATTATAGTTGGCTTAGAATAGCCATAAGTCAAAATTGATGCCACAATCTTGATCAGGTTGTGGTAATTTTTTGTTATATATAGGGTCTAATTCATGGATTGTACAAATGATTTATTATTTATAGTTTTCTATAGTAAAAATTTCAAAGTATATTTATTTTGAAAACCATGAATGATTCAAAGATCTTGTGAATTTAAAAACTTTTATAATAGCAAAAAGAATGTTATTTGATTCATTTGGGTGATGATAATAGTTTTGTTCATGGTAATAAAATATTAATAGTGCCTATGATGAAATAGATTCATAATTAAGTATTTATGAATTGACAAAAAAGTCTAAAAAAGATACTATAGAAGCATGATTATAGTTAAAATTTGCTCATTGATGTAAACTTTTATATTGAGTTAAAATATAAAAGTTTTAAAACTTTTATAGAAATATTAAGATATTTGCTAGTTATCTTTCATTAAGGGTGGATTTAGAGGCCTTTTACTTAAAAAAGTGAAAAGATAAATGAAATGACAACTTGATTAAGTATATATGATATCTTGACAATTGAATGAAATATTCTTTAATAAAAGAATACATACTTGCACATTGTGGGGGTGATAAGAATCAAAAGAAATAAAAAATTACCATCATAGTGTTATAAGATTTCAATATAATTTTATGAGTAAATTATACAAGCTAATAAGTTTAGACACTTATTAAAGTAAAATCATAAAAAGGTCTTTACAAATCTTAAAATGACTAAAATGGTTTGGTTTGTTCATTGAGTTCATCCAATTTTACTATAAGTATAATTGTATTAAAGATATATAAAAGTACGAAAATAGAATGGTTGATATTTATGAGTATAGAATTGTGGGCACAACCAAAACCAACTATTTCTTAAAATGATAAGAATGAGGCAACAATGTCTGGAGCATATAAGTAATATCCAAAATGAAAAGTTTGGACTTATTAACCTTAAGTGATTATATTAGAGATTTAATCTCAAGTGGGGTTAATTACTATAAAAAGAAATTGAATTCCAAGACATTGGTTAGTAGTACTATAAGTAGAATGCATTTAAACCCTTACTATTAGACACCAATAATGGGAACCTAATTTTGAATTAATAACCCCTAAATACAAAATTTAATGGGTAAAAACAAGTTATTATTATGTGTCTGTCAAGCATTAGCAAAATCCATTCAAATTTTAAAAACTGGTGTGATCCATTGTGTGGGAAGGTTGAGTTTTTATAATCTTAATGGAGTTTTAAATGTCTAAAGCAATGGAGACATAATGAAAACTCTACCTATATAAACATAGAAGTAGTATCACTTTAACAAGAAAAATTAGGGTCTCTCTTGTAAATGTTTATAAATAGGATCAACGCATAGTATAATGGTGCTAAAAATAGTTATAAACCTCTGATAAAAGAATAAATTAATATTATGTATGTTATATCTTCAATTATGACACTAAGAGTTAAAGTTTAATCTGCGGACACTATCAACTTCGTTAGAATTCTAAGATTTATACACTAATTGAACTATTAAATCAAGAGATACGTCTAGTATTCATAATATTTATTTGTGTGAAAGGTAAAAATTAAGCACAAATATTCCACACTAGTGGGGGATTATTGATAGTTTAAAATATAGTACATCCTACATTAGATAGAACGATTTAATTATTGATAAATAAAATTAATTTTTATATTAATTTTATTCATATTTTAAATAATTATGTTTGAACAGAAACAATTATCATATGATAATTTTTCATAATTATTTGAATATAAATAGATTATTATTCGTAAAGATCATATTATATAAAATGTCATTACCATCTGAATAGAAATTTATGTTTATTCATTCATTATAAATAAATCTTTTAATATAAGCATTTTTACTGCTTCTAATTGAAGAGTTTAAGATTTTATTTTATCATAAAGGTATAATTACTTTAAAAAAAGTGTTTTTCATGCTTCAAAATTAAATTTTTTTTTATTATTTCTTTTCTTTTATTTATTTTTTCTAACATATATTAAGTATTAACAGTAAAAGTAGTTCTAACCTGATTGTTTGAGGCTTGTCCATGTATTCGACGAGGCTTCATATTCAAATCAATCATTTTAGTATCTATTTTGACGTGGCCATCAGCATTAACATCTATCCTTTGAACAGGAGAGACGCTGTGATTTTGTTGGTTCTCTCCCATTATTGGTTTAGCTGGCTGAATTTGGACTCTTCTTGTCTCACTGGGATCCACCGGTTGTGAAGCTGGGTCCTGATCTATATTACCAGGTTTATCCCCTGTAAACTGCATAAGAAAAAAAACATAGCAATAAAATTCCAAGGGCACATTAAAACTCCAGGAGGAAAATACGACCCAATTCTCTTCAAAGATAAGTGACAAACCTCTACTCTCTGCCTTAATAGAACATATCTTCCATGAGTTCTTTTACCCCCAACATGTACAATCATATCACATTGCAAACAAAGGGAACTTCCATCTATCTCACAGTAAAAGAAAGCTACATGCACATTCCAAGGCATGAACATAGGTTTAAGAAACTTCTATAGAACCAGATAAAGCAACAGCTCTATAATAAAAGAAAAAAAGTAAAAGACAAAAGGACACCTGCATACCAGGTGCATTTTCACATATGTCACAGTGAGGAACATCAATGGGATTTGCCAGACCGACCCGGACATGCCGGCTAGCAAGCTTATTGCACATGTGGACCTGCCATAATGACCAACAGTTCAAAGCAAAGCTTCGATTTTCCAGGACAATCCAGAACAATGAAAGAATTCTTATTCTAATTCTAAACAAGTTTGAAGAAGCATCCTTTCGATAACAACACAGAGGTTGTTTTTGAGAAGAAATAAAATCAAATATACCAATCTATTTTCCATAAAAATAAATCTCTACTTTTCTACACGAAAAAAAAAAAAAAAAAAAAAAACCCAAAGTATTCGTTAGACTAAAACTATTCATCAAATTTGGAATTCCAGCTAAGAACTTGTAGAAAAATAAGTCTGAACAATTGCTTATGGTAGCAGATATACAGGAGACAGACAACATAAAGGAAAAAAGTTCAATCTTGAAGAAGAAAAGAGGGGCCTTTAGTTGGGTTTGGATTAAAGAACCAAATATCAAGTAGCTAGTAAGTAATAAACAATTAGACTAGCAAGCAAGCACGAGAAAATCCCTGCCTCCTACAAAGAAGAACAATAGACCACAAAATCCCACATGGGGTCCGGTTAACAGCTAGAAAACTCCCCAAAGTGTATAGTTACATGAAGAAAAACAAGAATCAATTGAATAAAGAACCAACCTTTTCATCGCAGGCACGGCAAAGAGCAGCCTCATCGGCAGCACAGAAGAGAACAGCAGCAGCACTTTCACAAGCGTCACAAAGGGTTCGCATAATTCTCTCTCACTCCTATACTCTCCCAATCAACCAGCAAAAATATTCATCTTCTTTTCACGTAAGAATAGGCCCTAGACACAAAAGAACAACCCCAACTAAAAAGCAAAAGGAAACAAGATGTTTTATAATCAAATGAAATGATACGCAGAGGCAGCTGTTTTGTTGTTGGGGTTGGTTGGTGATGATGATGATGATGGCAAGGACTAGGATTGGTGGTAGGGAAGAATAAAAAAAAAGAGATGTTTTTCTTTTATAGTATTAGAGGAGATTAGAGAAATGGATGAGGATAATGTGGGTATTTAATAAGCAGGCGACACAGACATCATATGAACGGGGAGAGAGAGGGGACTGGACTACGGAGTGGAGATGTGTTTCGTTTTGTCAACTTTTGGTTTGATTCATTTGGTATTTGCTCAGTTGATGGACACCACAAGTTTTAGACAGAGAGCCTTGGCTCTTAGGAGTTGTGGGGCTGAGAACGTCTCTCGCTTTAATCTTGCCCACCAGTCACATATCTGCCAGGGGAGATGGGACCCAGGTTTTTTTCTTCTATCCAGTGAACTTTGGTCTGCTGCTTCTGGAAGCCTTACCGTCGACAGAGCATCTCTTTCTCTCTCTCACCCTCATGAATCTGTACCTGATTGGTTCCAAAATCTTCTCCGTCGAGATTAAAGTGGTTGATGCCTGATGCAGGAGGCATATCTTGTTTCCGTAATTGTTGTACCCAATTTTCCTGTTTTCTCTTATCACAAATGAAATTAGTTCCCAAGTTTTTCAGTTTTGCAGGATGGTATCCAATCCAACCCAACTACGCCATACACAACCCTTATGTAATTACTTTGTATTTTTACCATGTTAACAAATCTATATTTTGAAAAAAAAAATTTATATTCAATCCTTTTGTAATTACTTTTTATTTTTACTATGTTAACAAATCTATATTTAAAAAAATTAGGCTCCGTTGGTTTGGAAAACTATTTTTATTTTTTATTTTTAAAATATTTTTTATTTTTCTTTTTTCAAAAAATATATTTAATAAATGAAAATAAAAATTATTTTTTAAAATACAAAAATAAATAAAATATTCAATAATATTACTATTAATGTTATTTAATTATAAATATAATATATATTTATTAATTAAAAAATAACGTATAGTCATTATTTTCACAATTAAAAATATATATTCTTTCCATATTTCCATTCATTTTTATTTTCCAAAAACTTAATTTTCATTCTCAATACATTTTCAATCATATTTTTCATTTTTTTAAAAATAAAAACCAAAAATAATTTTATTTTTTAAAATCAAACACTACTTTAATTTCTTTAAAATTTTTTACTGGTAATTTCAACGTTGAATATGTACCACATAAACTCTTGAATTCAGTCAGCAAGCAATTACATCTCATCCATAGTTGTAAATTTCGGATATAAGGGTCGAAACGCTTCAAGTTTAATCAAATGAATATATTAAGAGAAGCTTTTCGTACCAATATTAATGTCGAATAATTTCGATTGATTTTAGGTATCTTGGATAATTTCGGGTTGTTTGGGCAAAATTAATAATTTCGGCTGGTGCAAAATTCATTCATCATGGACCTTTCCTCTATATTACCATGTCTTCAACTTTTATCATTTTTTTTTCTGCACTTTACTTTCTCACTATCATACTGACAGATCCAAAAGCCAAATTCCAGAATCTTTTAAAAAAAGTAAGATCGTAAGAATATCATAAAAGAAAATTAAAAAATATAAAAAATAAGTAAAAATTTGGCAATTGGCAGTGGAGGTTTTGAGTCTCGGCTAAGAAAAAAAAAAAAAAAAAAAGGGTTGTTGAGCAATGAAAAATGAAAAGCGACGGAAGAGGTGTTGCTGGAAGGAGAGCGGCAGTAAAAATCAAGAAAAGACCAAAGGAAGAAGGAGAGGATAGACTTGAAACAGAATAGCTGTAGGTTAGAAGGCTAGAAAAAAAAAAAATGAAAGGAAGAAAAAGAACCAACAATTGATTAGTTAATTGGTTAAAGTTCGCCTTTTTTAACAAAAAATATTAAATTCAAATTTTACTAGTAATTACTTGTTAGAATTATTTAAAATATAGAATTTATAATTATTTATTTAAAATTATAATGTATGATACATTATTTATCTTTATATTTTTTCTTAAAAAAAAAAGATAAAAGGATTTTTTGTAAGTCTATGTGTAGGAGTATCACATTAAAGCATAAACCTAACTCAAATGAAGGATGTTTGTTGGGCTTATATAATTTACTTAAATATATAAAATGGATGTTTGTTGGGCTTATATAATTGATTTAGACTTAAATATATATATGAGATGTTTAAATTTTTCTTTAAAAATTTGATAAATCTATTTATTTATTTTTAGTTTTAAAATTTTAGTAATAAAAATATGATAATATATGATTTTGTTTGTTGTAATTTGGAGTTTAAATGTTACATACTAAATTTTATTTAAATGATATTTAAAGATATTTGAATTGTTGAAAGATGTAAATCTTAATTATTTTTATTTTATTATTAGTGATATTTTATATAAATTTAAATATATTTATAAGTATTTATACACTTCATATCCAAATATCCGAAATAATATGACAACTTTAATCTCAGCACAACAAATGGAAGAAGGTCAGTAATAAGGATGGCAATTGGACGAGTCAAGATAAGTTTTTACTCAATTCAAATTTAATTTAATAATTTTTTTAATTTTTATACTCAAATCAATTTGATTTTATATTACATAAAATTATACTTGATTTGATTTTAAATTAATAAAATATTATTTTTAATATAAATATAAAAATAAATATATAATTAAATAAATAATTAAAAAATAATTTTTTATATATATTAAGTAAATAAAATCAAAATTGCTTAAAATCTAATCTGATTCGATCTTAATTTTTTTTACTAACATCCGATTTGATTTAACTCAATATTTAATTTTCTAAAAGATAAAAATTTATCTTAAAAAATTGAGTCAGATTAAAACTTATTAAATATGGATTGAATTGCATTCCGACCAGTTCGATCATTATAGCTAGTACTATTTATTATCTACGAGAGAAGTTGGGGCCAATGAAATCCTACGTTTGTGGGCTTAGACAGCTTGCAGAATTAAGGAATTCGTTATATTTATTAAGCATATTATAATTAATTAATTATAATTTAAAATTATATAAACTTTATAAAAATTTATATAAAATTTAAAATCGTACATGATGAATTTGTTATAATATTTTATTATGATTAAATAATTATAAAATTATAATAAAAAATTATAAGTAATACGCACGTAAATGAACAAAATTATAATGCAGTATACATTATTCACCAAAGCCATTTATTTATAAGGACATTGTCTTGTCTTCGATTGAACCACGATAAATTAACAATGCAAAATCGTTTTTGTTAATATAACTGATGATTTCATTGAATCAAAATGAAAGTAGAAATTTGCTTAATAACAGTAGAAGAAATTAATTTTAATTACACATTTCAGTTGGAAGATATTTGTTTGTCTTTTTCGCCAAGGTTTCTATGATCCTGTGGTGTTCATTTCTTTCTTCTTCCTCCGGCCATCCTTTTGATTGTGGTGTCCACATTTTCCCCTGCCACATAAATGAAATAACAACTAAATTCAATTGAAATTGAGTGAAATCAGATGATGAATGGCTGTAGTTGTTGTTGGTAATAATCAAAGCAGCCACGGCTCTTGCTTGTAAGCAACACTTTCTGAAAAGAAAAAAAAAGCAGCACTGAGTAATAATTGGAAATCTGAAGATGGAGTAGAGCTCTACAAAGTAACCCCAGGCAAGCCTCAGGTAAAAGGGGCTTATGTATATAATAATGGACAATTAACCGGACAGTAAAAATAAATTGCAGGCATCTTCATAGATTGAAAAATTTTTTATAACAAAAAGGAAGCAGATGCTGCAATATGACATTTCACATATAACAGTGACAGCTGGCCTTGCCAGGCCAAGGCACAATATGACAATATGGCAACTCTCAGTTTTTACAGACCATTTCTTTCATCCTTTTGATCTATATAAGAGGCCATATTTCCAATTCAATACAATCAAAAGCCTCATCTAGGCTTACAGGATATAGATATATTACACAAGGATTAAAACTCAATCTTACAAACTTATCAAATACTATAACCAATACAATTTCTTCATGAAAACAAGACACTAGATCATTATAAGACCTGTAAAAACAATTGCAGCATATAACAGCAGAAAAGAAAGTGAAGTTGTTCACTTTTTTTTTTTTTGTGCTGTTCAAAATGAAATGTTTAACATTTCCATGCTCAAGCTCTCCATCATCGCATTTTCCATGAATCCACATTTAGATGGTGCAGCCTTGTTGAAACTGCATAGCCTTCGCTTGATTGAGCAGGAAGAGAGAGGAAGGATGGGAATGTTCTCACAGTTGCAGAGCTCAACCATGTACCCATCTGGATCATGGAAGAATACCTGATCAACCCTGTTCCCTTCATCTTCAACCACAGCTGTGACATACTTAATTCCCATGTCTTGCAGCCTCCTCTTGACAAGGCCAACATCTGTACACTGTCATCACAAACCATTTCAGCAAAAACTTGTTGAAACATATTAGTGATATCACTTCCTACTAGCTAGCTGCTACTGTAAATTAATGCTGCAGGCATAGTTTCTGAAAGATTCAACTTGAATTCATATATTATACCTGGAAGGATATGTGATTATCCTTAGGATTAATTGGCCGCGGTTCAACACTAGTGTCAAAATCATCAATTGATGGATTCTCAATTAAGTGTATCCCAATGCCATAGTTATACAACCTGCATAAGATCCAGCAGATCAGTTATTTATTATCCTGCTTCATTAAAAACTGAATTTCTTGAAGAAGGCTAGAGCATCAAACTTACCAAGCTCCATTGAACTTGAAAGAAGAAGGGCGTTTTATGAGAACAAAGCCCAAAACTTCTTCATAGAACCGCACAGAATCCCAAACTGATCTACACAACAATGAAACATGATTCAATGAGAGAAGTGGCAATGCCTCATGGTTGGTCACTTCCTCAATCTCAATCATGTTTTCACTCTTACACTTTGCTTCTTCTTTTATCTACTTTCTCACTTGCTTGCACTCTGCATGACTAGGTTACTGCCTTGTGGTCCTTTTATAAAGCAATATTGGGAAACATCTCATTTCCTAAATTCGAATTCAAGAAATTATGAGGAACTTTCCTAGCAAATTCTCTTTCTCCCAACCAGACGCATAGACATTAGAGAAATTGTCTGATACCCTTTATTTTGAAGAAAAAGGAAAAGCGCTTACATTTCCTATTATTGGACATCACTTTTATTTTTATTTTTTTTGGCTCCACTGTTAGGTTAACTAGATAAAAATCTTAGTTTAATGAGTTGGTTCATGAGTCACTCTTAAGAAATGGCATCCAATAAGTCTGAAGTTCAAATCTTAACACTTGTAATCCCTTTCTCTTATTTTTATTAGTAAACTGTGAACTCTTTTTTTAAAAAAAATTGTCCAATATTAACTTGATTAGCCTCTTTTATAGAAGTATATGTAAAACAACTTAAAATTCTTACCAAAATTTTCACCGTTCTTACTTTTATCAGTTATTCTAGTCTATTCAAGTGTAAATCTCATTATAATCTGAATAATTCAAAAAAAAAAAGTAGTATTAGTAATTAGATTAAAGGCTCCCAAGATAGTATTTGGATTTCGTCTAGGAAAAAGGCCACATGATCTGTTTCCTTGGGTTCTATGGCTTTGATTTATACAGACAAGAGGCCATTTAGACATTAAGCAGAGGGTCTTTAAACCTGTCGCCATTCCATCAGTATTGAATTTGCCGTGCTAGATAGCATATACTTCTAATTATTATAAGCCTAAGGCAAACATGTTTATGATCAGGTGAAAAAAATAGAGTTGGCTTGATTTTTTAAACGTTTCTTTCGTTTCAAATCAATCTTACTTTTTCGTTTGAAGATATTTCAATGTGTGGATTCCAATTAGCTAGTTACTGCTTTGGCACGCGTTTTTTGCACTGATCATTCGTCTACATAACCATTTACTTGAAACTGACCAAGATTTTTCCTCCCATCAGGTTCGGCAGAAATCAAGTTACAAGAAAAAACAAAGCTGTCTGGTTTAGCTTGTATAAGCCCTTTGAGTTATAGGCTAACATTGAAGATGCTGATAAAAAAAGTAGCCAAGATCAAAGACAAATCTATTCAATTATGGTTCGTTTGTGCCCAAATTTGGTGATTTTGAAGGCTATAACCAAACAAACATCAAGGAAGAGCAGAGCTCTTTTAGCCCTTCTAGGTACTAAAGACAAAAAGTACAAAGTTCCAAAAAGGTCGGAAACTTCTTTGATGCTTCCCGTTTACAGGATGACATTATCAAATTTCCTTCACCGATGTTTCACTCAAAGAAAAAGGACAGGAGGCTGATTTGAAACTTGACAGACCCTTCAGTAAAACCATTGGAAGCATTTTTTCTACGTAATTGGCCCAGCCTCCATGTATCGTGATCGCATCACATGGTTGCTAATAAAAATTTGCCCGTACAATTATACATCCTAATTTCTGTTAATCGTGTCAGCAGTTTCAAACAAGTTTGGTTCTTTGGCCCTAAGCCCCCTTGATTCTCTTTTTCTTTCTTCGTTTCATTTTGGCCGGTTTGTTTTTTTCTGGAGGACCAGTGTTGACAATAACAATTTGACATGTCTAATTAGTAAGATTCACCACCTCAGGATTAACGTTTTCTTCATTTCCAGCAAACATATTGAATATTTTGCCAGAAAATGCTGACATGAAATTGGGTTTCCTTTTTTATGCGATTTTAGTACAAATATTGGATTATCTCTGCAACTAGAGTTTGATAGCGCACCAGAAAACAGCTTGACAGGAAAGCTTATCCGTATCCAAGCTGTCAATAAAGCCATAAATCGGTGAGTGAGACGATGACGACGACCATCAAAACAACATCAGCATCGATGTTTCTGGGTAGAACATGAATCAATAAGATTCAGGAAAGTGAAATATCTAGGGGGCAAAGCGCAAAAGTGGTAGAACATCCATAAGCAGGCATTTGAAATGGCGATGCGAGTCTGTCTTCAAGCTTAGCTGTTTTGGGTTATAGAGAAGACAACATTGATCGAGTCCAAGTGACAAGTCCAAAGCCCGGAAAACAATTCAGTAGCATTTACACAGGCCTTAAACTGTCCAGCCCATGAGTACTATTCTAATAACGTTATAAAAAGGAAAATTCTCATTTGCATACCTGCTGCTGCTGGTTAAAGATCATACTACTATTCATCTAGCATGTCTGCTGCTTCTGGTTAAAGATACAGGCAACCCAATTATTAAGGAAGTATTGGTGTCAAATCTATATGGTTGTTACAATGTTTTTACAGTAAAAGATGTCCAAGCAACTTCTAATCAAATATGGATGTGATTTTGATAAGAGTTAATATGTAATTCCCTCAAAATATATCACTTCTCATTATTTGATACTTATAAAAAAAATTACAATTTGGTATTCAACTTTTATTCCATCATGTTATTTACCTCATACATCAATTTATTTAATAATATGCTAATGTGATAAAAAAAATCAAAGAATAAATCATGATATATGATGTATTTTCATTAGCTAATATTTATCACGTTATCATTTTATTTAACACTGTTAATCAAAAGTGACAAGTATTGACGAGAAGAGAGATAAAATATAAAATTTGTGAATTTTTTATTAATACCCAATCGTGAAAAATGATATAATTTAGGAGTCAATTATAAAGTAGCAAACAATAATCATAGAGTTATGAAGTATGCATTTAATTTAAAAAATCAGGGAAAAATATATATATATTTAGCTAGGAGTTAAATAAAAGATGAATATTGATTAAATTATATATTTTGATCACTATTTCATTTCTTTATTTGATCTACAGAGTCATATGGTTTATCATTGATTAGAAAATAATTCAAAATCTTGGATAAATCAAACTAAAGCAGATAGAAACAACATTGAAGTTAAAATCCGAATTGAAATAGTATAACCTTAGGTAAAAAACCAAATAAAACAGTGCAAATAAAACCTGAAGTCTAAATGGAAGTAATTGTAAAGACTACCTCCAAACACCCAAGTTTGTAGTGATTCTAAAATAATCAAACTCTTACCCCATGACTAAAACCTTGGTTCCTTGTTTTTCATCTCATTTTATTCATTGATGTCATGGTTGAAATCAGTGAACTCAGAATGAAGCATTTGAGGAAACACACGTTGCATTATCAACTGTTGCCGATTATTAGTATTCAACTCTGGTCGCATGGATGGAGCATAGAAGCAAGTTTGGAATGCAGCCTTAGGCTCCTTGAACAACACATTGCATGGCAGTCGACATTGGATCATGAAGAACTGGAATTGATGGTGGATTGAACATTACATTGTTTGTCAAGGCAATTCTTGGATCATGACGACCAGGAAACGAATGCTGGGAATTGTAAATCACATTGTTTAGTATAATGCTGCCACTAGATGCAATCCCTGATTGAACACTGAAATCAAGATTATTCATCATCGACATCCTTAGCGCTTTATCAATGGGATTTAGGCCGAGGGAAGCTTTACAAGAGCCTCATCAGTAGGGGAAAGGGAAGGTAGTTGTATGTTAAGGGGTTTTGTAGGGGGAGGAAGTTGCTCCCAAATAACTCCAAAATCCACGTTCTTTTGAGGAAAGGATTTGATGTGATCAAAATGGTTTAGAATCTCGACAGGTAAATGAGCTTGGATGTGCTTATCAGAATGGTTTAGATTCTTCAGATGAGAGGCTGCAGGGATGTAATAGAAGGATTTGGCTTTGATTTGGAAGATTGCATCAAATTATGCTGATCATCTCCCTTCATCAACATGGTCTTCCGATTTTCAACTTCAAGGTTCAGATCAAGTTTAGTAAGAAACGATGCAATTTCTTCAGGGGAGAAATTGTCAATACGATCATTCCATGTTGGAAACTTGGCTTCGAAATTTGCTTTGCGTACATGGGCAACCTCATCGTGAACCTGTCTCCTAAGTATGCTGAAAAAATGAAATATAATAGAGATTTTCTTTTGCGCATCCGATGCAGCCTTACTCTTGTATTTGTCGATGATGCTGTTAACCTGATCAGGATCTGAAGGCCATATTTCAACCTTAGCAGGGCTATCCTTCAATTTGGGTTCGAAAATGATCATGCAAACCTTCACATCGCAAAGGATGGAGAACTCATAAGCCTTCTTTTTCAAGCCTTTCATTCGCTTCTTAAGTGTTGTAGCTCGAGTCTTCTCATGCTCTAGAAGTTTCATGCTCAATTTTCCACGAGCCATCTAACAATAATCATGAAATTAACGAATCAAAATGAAAAGAAATCATATATTTAGACACTTTTAACTTCGAATATTCATGTTTTGAAGATGTCAATATCGTCTAAACTTTAAACCTAATCAATAACCAAAACAGAAAACCAAATCCCAAACACATGGATTCAAATTTCAAGCTCAGTTAATCTTTTTACGCCAAACTAAATCGTGTTCATGCATGGGTTTTATCCCATATACATAGATCACACAGGTTTATGGTTTGCTTTATTCCTTAAATCTTTACTATACACAATTTATACATGGCAAAAACTCATTGTTTATGGCAATAAACCCGATTAAAGTACAAGGAGAAGAACAATAAAAGGCAAAACGATGAACAAAGTTTCATTAACCATAAAGAGAAAAGAGCACCTATATAAATTAGAGTAGTTACCTTGGATTTTTTCACTGGCCTGTCTCGCGGCTACCTCAAAGATGCAGTTTCTCGAACTTTTTACAGGGAAACAGGGCTTTCTCTTAATATTTTTTTTTTGGTAAAAAAATATTCAAGATAGATAAGTTAGTTAATCCCTCATATAACAACAAAATATATTATACCTGATAACCTAAAATAAATGTTTACAGATTATGCATTCGAGATGAGCCTAACAAGCGACCACCAACAAAATTCAAACCTAAGACTTTTTCGTCGAAGAAGACGAATCTTAACTAATTGAGCCAATTATTGTAATATATTCTCATTACAAGTATGGAATGTAATTCAAGGATGCTGAATCTTGATTCAGAGAAAAGGAAATTTTATGCTTATTGATAGAACCAGACCTTCGTCTGACATCAAAGCGTTCATAAATGCACCTATTACTTAGGTGTCTTTTTCTTTTTTGCCTTTTTGTTTGAATGTTTAAATATTTCATTACACAGCTCCATCGTTTCGTATGTTTGCATTATTTGGAGTATGATCCTTTTAAATTTTAGTATAGAAACCTAATTGATGAGATTTTACTGGTTTTAATCGACTTAAGAGGGAAAGAGACAGTTATTATTCATTCACCTTCCAAATGGCAACCTACATCTTGTCTATCTAACATATATAGAAAATTAAACCCATCCATAGCATCTGATTGGCCTTATGATAGACTCAACAAAGAGAGCAATGCTACAAGCACTCAAAAAAAGCAGAGAGAAATGTGGAAGAAGGGAAGCTGACAGTAGAACTTCATTGCATCAATGTCAATACCAAGATGATCAGAGACAGAGCAGACATTAAGTATCATTATAACAGTCTTTACATCTCATCGACCTTACATGTAGATTACATGAATAGATAAGAAAAAAATGTAAAACAAGGTTTATTTCAAATTGAATCTATGTTCTAATCATACAAACAGCATAGAACCACTTAAAGAAAATTCATGAATGAGTTCAAAATAACTACTTGAAAAATGTTTCACACTGCATGCTAGTGAAACAAATAGGAGACAAGACAACCAAATGATGCCAACTAGCAATAACCCAAGTCTCAGAACTTGCACTCTATTCTGCTCGGGATTGACCAGCCCGGGAAGAAAGGATGATGCCAACAATGAGTCCATACAGAGCCAAAGCCTCAGCAAAAATGAGAATTAGAATCATTCCAACAAAAAGCTTCGGCTGTTGGGCATTCGCTCTGCAAAAAATAACAATAGCAAGCAAATATATGTATAGAAAAAACTAAATCAAACAAGGCACATTGTCACAATTGAAATGTATCTAAAAACTGAAGATACAGCAAAAACATTTAGCCAATAAAAATAGTACACATGAAAATATATGGAAGTAACCAAGAGAAATAACACAAAAAAAAAAACAACGCAATCCATAAATACACCACAAGTCTGTATTCATTGGCAACAATTCTAAACTTCTCCACACGAGTCAGCAAGACCTTTAAAAGTAATTTTTTCTCTTTCTAAATACTTTGATATTTATAACTTCAAAATACCTTATTGAGTAAAAATAAACTACATTTCATATAACAAGTAAAATTGCAACTAATCTAGGTCCAATTCACTCAACTGCAACAAATTGGCCACTGTAGCTTCATCAGAATTCGTAAAATGAAAAGCTAACCATATGCACACCGTTGTTATGACAAAAAAATTAACGCACTCCCATCAGTAGCAGTCAAATCCTAAAACTAAACTGCCTACAAAAATTTATCGTAATATTGAAGGCTAAATTTCTGAAATTACAGATTTTACTATGCCCTAAGTTGAATTACTTTTACTAATATAATCAGTGAAAAATATCTATATAACAAAAGAACAGAGAATGAAATCTGTATCCAGCAAACAACATTTCAATATTAAAGAATTGAAAAGCAAAATACCAAAAACAAATAATTACAAGAAGATTAGATAACAATACCTAACGCCAGCGTCGCCGACGATTCCAATAGCCATGCCGGCGGAGAGACCAGCGAGGCCACAAGCGAGACCAGAGGAAAGATGAGCATAGCCATCGAAAAGGTAGTAAGATTTGGCCTTCGGGTTAATCCCAGTACTTATAATAACCGCAATAATCAACCCATATATACCCAAAACTCCAGCCATAACAACAGGGACGATCGATTTCATTACCAGCTCTGGCCTCATCACTCCCATCGACGCCACTCCGACACCACTCTTCGCCGTCCCGTACGCGGCTCCCATACCTGAAAAAACCAAACCAATTGGATAGGGAAATTAGAACCGATCAAAAATTGAAAAATTTTCGAGATAGGGTTAGATTTTTACAGGAGAAAACGAGGGCAGCAGCCGCGCCGAGGAAGCCAAAGAAAGGAGCAGTTTCATCGCCGCTGAATGTGGACGGCATTTTTTTTTCTAAATTTTCACCGACGATTTGAAGATTTGGGGAACTATGATCTGTGGAATTCTTTGGTGATCAGAGGAAGAGAGAGAGATGAAGAAGGAACCACGAAATTTCAGTGGACCCACTTGAGCGTGATCATGCCACAGCCATACAACCAGTCAAACTTGTCTTAGGCCTGTTTTGGGCTGAAAAGCGCATTTCTTAGATTTGGACATGTCTTGGGCCTGATTTGCGTTGAATAAGACTATTCTTCGTTACTCCTGTCAAAAAAAAAAAAAATTAAATACATATTAAATATCTGAATTTTATAATTTTTGTTACATTAGTACCTAAAAAATATTTCTATCACAGTGGCCCTTGAACTCTAATTCCATAACTTAATTACTCCAAAATTTAACTCCGTTAGAAAAAAAGTTAACATAGTTTAAATTGTCAATTAAATAACATTAGCTATCAACAAAAATTTCATATCTTCAATTGATTTTTTTTCATGTCATTAAAAATTCACATTAGATATCAACACCAAAACAAAAAAAAAAAAATTAACATTTTTATTTTTTAACTGAGATAAAAAAATTTTCAAGAAGCTACTTTCTTTGAAAAAAGAAAAAAACTATTAGTTTAAGGAAAAAAAAAAACTTGATAAACAAAGAGGGATTACGTTTTAAAATTCAATCTTTGTAATCATTCCAAATTGTGTGATTGAAGTGTAGTATTTAGGCAATCGATTCAAAAAGTAAAATCATTGGCAGTTTTGTATTTAGGATAATCAATTTAGAAAGTGTAATCGATTGGAGGTTTTATGTTTAGGACAATTGATTGATCTTTGAAATTAGGGGTTTAGATTAGTGATAATGTAGGTTAAATGTCTGAAAGTGAGACATTAGAATTGACTTGTAAAGTGAGAAATTGATTCAGAAGTTTGGCTATAGATTTCAGAGGAGGTAGATTTCAATATTAATCCAAACTTAAAACCGAATTCAATGTCCAATATTGTTACATCTTCTTTATATTTTGGGCAAACATAAAATTTCTTTTTTTTTACTCTATGGAGTGGTGGAGGTATAAATTGGAGCTTTTAATCCACAATGACAAAAAAAAAATTTTTTTGAATGATTTGTTGATTTTGAAGTTGAGGTAGATCTATTCTCTACCATTTAAAGAGAATCAAAGAAAGAAATAGAAAGATTGAAATAGCTTTCTTAAATACCCAAAAAAGTTACATGATTTTAAACCTTAAATACCTACACTATTATCTTTCTTTGTTTCTGTCGACTATTTCTTCTTCTTCTTAAACAACAAAAAAAAAAGTTAGCTTCTTAGAATTTTTTTATCTTAATTAAAAAATAAAAAGTGTTATTTTTTGTTGTTGTTTTAGGTTGATATTTGATGTGGATTTTTAATGATGTGAAAAATAAATCGAGTTGAAGAAGTAGAATTTTTGTTAACAACCAACGTTATTTGACTAGCCATTTAAAACACATCAACTTTTTGTCGAGTGGAGTCAAATTTTAGAGTAAACTAACTTACGAAATTAAAGTTCAAATATTAATGTGGTAGAAAAATTCTTTAGGTACCAAATGTGACAAAAATAACAAAGTTTAAGGGCCAAATATGTGTTTAACCAAAACAAAAAATCTCATTAGATTATTTTTTATTTATTTTTTATTTGAGATTATTAGAATTTAACTTAATTGGTGAAATTAAAAATTCAATGCTTTATCAACCATTCTACCAACCAACCATTCAGACACTAACAGTTGTGTTTTTTTTTAATTACACTAGTTCAAAAAGTATGGAAAAGATATGGTTTACTTGAACTAGGAAGCAAACCTCGCTTCGCTTCAAGATAAAATAATTTCATACTAAATTAAAGTTAAAAAAAATAAAATATATAGATTTATATATACTTGTAGTTAAAGAGATTACTCAGACATATTTTACTATTACCAAAGCACCAATATAATTATCAATATATTTTCCAAAACCTTTGTTTTGAAGAGTGATTAAAACTAACAAAGAAGAGGAAAGCAAATTGGCATGAACTCAACAATACTTCGTAATTGAACTTATGTCTGTAAATAAGCTTAAATTTTTTAACATCCAATATTGTTAATTCATCATCCTATAGTAAAATAAAACAAAATAAGATCAATGATAAAAATAATTTATTAGCATGATGAAAAATACAACAAAAACTATTCTTTTGCTACTCAGAATCTAGCACACGTAAAAACTTTGTAATACACACAAAAGTATGATATTAAGCAACAAAAGCAAATTTTATTTCATTAGTAAAATGGCAAAACTTCGTAATACACACAAAACTTACTATAAATAAGAATGCATTTATGAAAGTAGATATAAGCAAACTTCATGACAAAAGGTAAAACACAAAGTAATAAAGGATAAGGAATAAAATGAATAAAGAATCTGTTATATAAAATTGTCATTGTACCAATAATTACTTAATCATGCATTATTTAGCAACCAAAAGTACTCGTAAAGCAAACACTAGATACAATTGTTATGAGATCAGCATGTTTAAGGCCTTAACATCTTTAGCCTTACCCTGCAACATACATTACAAAACAACCAAAAGAACTTCACTATTAGCAGCATAACATTATTAAATTCTAACATCCAATATATCAATTGCATTCTTAAGGTTAGTTAAAATACAACAACATGAATATTAAAGGAGAAAACAATAAAAAATATTGCAATATAAGGTAAATAATCAAAATTCATTTCAAATAAATTTTGCAAAGACAATCATACTTTTAGTGAAGACATAATGAAATGGTTGAATGCAACAGACTGTATGTTATTAGGACATCTAAAACTGCTTGTATTAGTGTATACTACAAGCAAATGTAAAGAATACCTGTTAAAAAGAAGCCTCACCTCAAATCAATTTTCAATTCAAAACAAAAGCTATTGAACATTAGTATTTTGATAATAGCCTAACTCAAATCACCCAAAGATTCTTTTGTTCTCTTAGTTTGTGTTGAGCAAAAAAAAGAAAAATATGACAGATTTGTAAATACAAAACACTATAGAAAACATTATCTATATATACAAAATGACACATAGTAAAAAAAAATACAAAAATAGAATCACATAACCTTAAACTTAAAAAACTTACATCTCTAACTATACTTTTAAAATAAATATCACAAAAACCCAACCAAAACAAAACACTAAACTTTCCACTTACCTCGAACCTAATCAACAAACAACCTTGGACAACTCCTATAGAAAATAATTTTAGTCATCATTTATACAACCAAATCTTAAACAACACACCTTTTAAACTTAAAAAAAAAAAAAAAAAAAAAACAACATGCAAAGCTCTCCAGCTATACTTTTAAAATAAATATCACAATATAATCCCAAAAACCCAACCAAAATAGAACATTAAACTTTTCACTCACCTTAAATGTAATCAATAAGTAATCTTTAGCAACTCTTGCAAGGAAAAAAAAAAAACAAAGTGCTAATCTTAAACAACACAATCTTTAAGTCATCTCTAACCAAACTAAAATAACATGCAAACATCAAAACACCAACAATGAATCAAGCAAAAAAAAAAAAAAACTAAAAAAAACACAAAAAAATTACAAATACACAAACTCAAACTAAACTAACATTCAAGTCAAAAAATAAAAACAAATCAAACAATTTTCACCATATTCATGCAATAAAATAAAATCCAATTCAACTTAAAGACATATAAAGCTATTAGCCTTGAATTGATTCTTATTTTAAAATGAAAAAACATTAAGTTAAATAAAATTGATTAAGATTTTGAAAAAGATTTATTTAATACACATTTTTAAGTTTTCTTATTTTTAGTACTAAATAAATAATGTGTTTTTCAAAGTATAAACAAACCTTTCTTTTTTTTTTCATATTTCTCAAACCAAATTTATCTTTAAACATTATTTATTTATGCTTAAATGAAAGTTCAATTATTGTTTTTAAAGTGCACTTATTCATTTTGGACTAAATACAATTTTGAAAATATTGGTTTTAAGAAATAGATTAACTTAAGAAAGTTGTTTTATGAAAACATAATTTTCCAATATTGAACTTACTTTTATTTTTCTATATCAATTCACAAAGTTTAATATTTGAATTTTATATAGATAGAAAGCCCTTTAAGTCTAGTTTTTAAATTTTCAAACAATTTTTTATTTGGAGTTGTATAACTTAATATATGATCAAATTAGTAAGTATAATACAAAACAGAAAACAACCAGTGATACTATTCATCCAGAATAATTCAGTATCTAAAATCTAGCTGACCCAATTGATTGGATACTAATATCGATCGATTCTCTCAGCTGTAATGGTAAAAAATTAAGTAAAATTCAAAATCCAATCAATCCCTTAATGTATCAGATTGATCCCTTACGCCTAAAAGTGCTTCAACAACTACTTTCAAAGGAAACAATGATGTGTTTTCATTTTTCAAGCTTGTCCACGGCTAATTCCTCAATTCTTTCATAAATTGGACATTCCAACACATTAAGAAAGTTGATGAATCAAGAGAATAACTTCAAACAAGTCATATTTTCATATTTTTAAAGAAATCAAGAGTTTTAGAGCTTAAATTCAATATCATTTGTATTTCTTGCATCGCAAATATTATTGTATTTCATTCATCATTTTTTTAGTACTTCATTAGACAAATACTCAACCTTTAAAGTTATTTTAGTTTGTAAAAATTATTTGGGTTATTTTGTAAGTAAGATGTCAGGTATCCTTTTGATTGTATAAGGGTAGATGTTTTTATCTTAAGCTTTAGGAAGAAAAAGATAAAGTTGTATTCTCAATTCAAATTTAGTAGATCGAAGTCTCAGTGTGAACAATCAAGATAAAGGACATAAGTGCCTTGAAGAGAAGGGCCAAACTTTTATAAATCCTTATATTTGATTTCTCTAACCCTATCTCTTTACTTTGCATTCATTGTTATTACTTATATTTACTTTAAGATTATCAATTTATTGTTATTTACATTATATTTTGATATTGGTTTTAATTTCACATTCAATTGTATTGAAATCATTGTTTGTGAAACTTTTAGAGAAATCCAATTTATCCCCTATTTGATCACCATCTCACCTAAAAAGTTAACAA